GGTCGCCCGCCTTTCGTTTCTCTTTAGGGGAAGCAAACCGCCAGAAAGTAAAACTCGCCTAAATGGCTCTAAACCACCTCCAGGAACCCAGAGACATAAAAACAATGCAATGCAAACATAAGGTAAGCCATTTTATTCAAATTATTTTCTACACGTAGCATTTAGAGTAATTTTCGAAGCATTCTCATGCATTGTCTTATAAACGGCTAAAATTGTAACGTAATCGCCAAAAGCATCATGTCACGTATTAATCGTATACAACGTCTGGGCCGCCTGTGAGTACAGTAGAAGTACTTAGGGTAAGCCAATGGGTAGCAAATACTTTTCTAAAAGTATCTAAATACGGTATTTAAATATTTAGATTCTTGCTTTCAAGGATGTAACGCTCCATGATCATGGCCGGCCAGCGCACCTCCAGAGATTGGAGCTCGTAGCGTAGCAGCTGACTTTCAGTGATTGATTTGTCGATAAGTGAACGCGATCTGTAACTTAGGCGAGGAATCTGATTGAGGTGTCTAAGAAAGAGAACCCGTATAACAATCTGGAACAACATGTTTCAATTCGCATGTCTCCCTTCACGTTCCACTAAAGAGCTAAGGGACCGTTCATTTTTTACGAGGGAGGGGGGGCTGGTGGGATTTGGGAAGCACCATTTGAAAATCGCATGACCCCCCCTCAGCTTACCAATTTTTTCATATGCCCCCCCTTATAGCGGTAATTTTTTGGACCCCCAAATCCCACCAGCCCCCCCTACCTTATAAAACATGAACGGTCCCTAACGGCATGATTAACTCAGATCAAATGCCATGCTTGGCAGGTCTTCATTAGGAGCAGGCGTCCGAGAAAGGAATCCAGCAGTTGGGGCAGTCTTTCAAGGGTAATTGCGCTCCATTGATTTGGGAATGGCCGCGAGTACAGTTGAATTGTAGGGAGTTGATCAAAGCAAAAATTGGACTGTTACCTCTTAAAAGGCCTGAGAACTGAAACAAAGGAGTCCTGATGGGGTCCTAATTTATCGGTTACTAATTTTGCCAAAGATGATGCAATGTGATGGTTTCATTTTTCAACATTTTGGCGTACTTATAGCTATTGTGATGTTCAAGTCCCTAGTCAACCAACACTTTTGTTTTTGTTTGCATGCCAGAGTTTGGCTATGATAGTTTATTCGGAGCAGCAACTTACACTAAAGCAATAAGATTTCGCTTCACCGTGCAATATTAATAAATTCAATGGAGTAGAAAATGGTGGAGGCTGAACGAGGGTCCTTTAAACAGCTTGTTCCGACAAAAATTTAGATCTTTTCTCTAACAGAGTAGGCACAGGTCTGTACCTAAAGAATGCTTTCAGTAAGGTCCTGTACGGGTGAAGATAATTCATTAAGTGAAGAACTATATGAAAGAAAAGATAGCTGAGAGAAGTAACCAGGACTAACCTAACAATGTGCTTTATTTCCCTTCGTGGCTATAGTTTTGTTACATTGTTATATGCTTTAAAAATGAAAACCATTTCTAAATGAAAGTGGGCCTTAGATAAGAATTGTTTTAATTAGCCCGAGAAAGAGAAAAGGAGAAGTTATTAGAGTGAAGGACTCTGTTAGTAGTAGTCAAATGACGCTATCGTGGAAATTTGCTAATCCAGGTAGTGGGCAGAGCGGGACTAGGACCCGGGACCACCGTCCGACGCGCTGACCACTCGGTCACGCTGCCTTCTAAGCGAAATATTTGTTAATTATTTTTTTTTGCAATAAGGACTTTGAGAGTTTGAAATTCGTAAGTTACTTTATAATACTGGGGCATTTCACAGTTTTCTAGAGCGGTTTTCGTCATTTCATAGTGTTCTAGGGCAAAAATCTTTATCATCGTCATATATCTGCATGACAATTTGTAGAAATTCTAAGAAGAAATCAAATTTTGATCACTTGTTAAACCAAAGGGTTAAAACAGATTTCGGCACAGCGGACACGTTGCATTGTTACTGGTGCTAAACCACTTGTACAGACAGGCGGAATGGAACTTCTTTTTACAAGTCTTGCAGCTCAATTTAGGCAAAGAGTAGTTACTGCCATGAATGACAGAGAAACATATCATACAGTCTTCTACGCCCTCAAAACGCTTATCTACGTTTCGTTTCCACAGAATAAGGCCATCCATTATGCTTCCATTCTAAACGAAAAAAGACAAGTATAGCGTTACACTTGAGAAATAGAAAAACTTTCCTCGTTATAGTTACATATTGAAACACGAGTGGAAGTTTGGGAGAGCTAGAAACGCTGTCAGAAGACTAGGAAGAGAGTTTCCGCGGCAGCTTATTCCAATCCTAACTCCCAAACCCTCACGAGTGTTTCTATCTAAAAATTAGATTATGAGCTCGAGATTTATATGAGGTGCAGTATTTGATGTGGGCACAGGCCGAAGATTGACTATTTCGAATAGGAATAATCGAATTGTTTTCATAGAATTCTCACTAAAATTCCCTTGACATAAAGATTTGCAATTATTTCCCTACGTTGTATCAAACTTCACGCCTTACGGTCTTTCGAGATTCAAATGATTGACAAAGAATCATGCAAGAGACGCGTGTATGTTAATCAATCAGTGATTCGAGCTACTCCGAAAACAAAATTGTCTCTTGCTCTCTCATTAGGAGTGGAATCTGCAACCTCACATAAACTGGTGGGAGAAGATCACGTTTTTTATGCAGTGACGATCAGGGGTGATAGCTATCAAGGGAAAGAAAATAAACATTCGTTAATAGCAAACAACAACAACAACAACAACAACAACAACAACAACAACAACAACAACAACAAAAGCGGACCGCTAAGGGAAATTGGTCGTTTACAAGCTCAATCACCAGAGCGGTAAAGAATAGAGGAGTAATACTGTGCATTTTTTGTTAAAGGAGCTACGTCACGGTTTGCGTATCTCTAAAAGATTAGCCTAAATTTTTCAAGTTCGCGTTTCATAATCGGTGTTAATCTTCTCCATCCTTTTTCCTTCATGGTTTATTGTTATCTCTTTGGTGTTTTTCCATCTTTGTTAACTATTATTTTCAGGTTTCCATCAATTTAAAGGCAATTTTGTACGTGGCTGGGATAACTCAAAATACCGCGACAGAGTCCTTTAAGAAAGATATCAACCACCAACACCACCACCTCCGTAACGACGAAAGCGGCAACAACAACGCTGCTTTGCGTCGCTTTTCCAATCTGTTTTTTCTGTTAGATATCGCGTTGAAATGCGTTTCACGTCCCATGTTTCTTTAACCGCGTCTGCGTTAGTAACTGAAAAGATTTTGAATGGCTTTTAAACCTGATGTGTGAGGAATGTGGTCATCTGTAACATCCAGCTCCTCCACTGTGCTGCCGTCACCCCGATCTTCTTGCCACTTTCCACTAACACCACCCCCAGAGGATGGTTGGGAGCCAGCTTCACCACCAGCTCCATGGAGATCTCATCAACCGTGTATACCGCGGCCACTTCTCGGGCACTGGGCCGAGTCTTGACTTGCATGTTGTCAAACCGGATTGACGAGCTTTGAACAAGTTGCATTTCTCGCTGGCACAGCTGAGGCGTAATACTGGAAATCGTGAATCTGAGATACAGAAGCAAATGTAAGACTCCATAGGATGAATTCTGAGAGGAACAGATTGCTGCAGTTGCCCCTTTTGTTTGGCAAACAAAATAAATATTATCTGATTACAGAGGAAAGTATTTGCTTTTGTCTTACATGACTACGATAAGCGATCGGTTTCAAATCTCGCGCCGCTTTCCTATCCAGTCAGAAGTAAAACCAAAATGGATGTCTGCGTCCCGTGTGGTAGGCCACAGTGATTACTTTGGTTTTGGTTTTGCGTCACTGAACTGAAAACCACTCGTCAGACACAGGCAGTGACGTCGTAATCGTTGTGCAGAGAAAATACAATTATTCCCATTATAGCTGACATTATTATCTATGCTTTCCATACCCTTGAACACTTTGCCAATTTGTTTCAACGAAAATAAAATTAGCTAAAATTTCCAACAATTTTGGCAGTGATAACTTGTTCCATCGGTGAAGGAAGGAAAGGAACACTAAATAGCCTACCATGGTTGCCATAGACATCACTTTTCAAAATTCCCTGACTTTTCCTGGAGAAAAATCAAATTTCCCCGACCAAATAACTATAAAATGTCAGATCTAGTTGGGACCTCTAGCCTCAACTTACAGCCGTCCTTTTCAGTCGTTCATTGAGACTGATAAGTTTTCAACAATTTGTCCTTCATTCAGGAAAAATATCGTTAAGATCACAGTGACCCCGAATGTTTCCTCCAGCCTTCAAAGGTCTTAAGTCAACCTTGTTAAATTATTTCGAACTTCCTTGTGACCATGTACTGATTTGTGGCAACCCTGCTTACTGTGTATTTTAACAAGAACAAAACAAACGTTCTTACTTGTCCACAATACCAGATTGACGCTTATCCAAACCATTCCACCACTGTCTGACAATGGCCGGCATCCACTGCGACAGGGAATAGTACACACCGCATGCCAACTGCTGGATTGTACGCTGACCAGCAAAACGTCCGATCTCTGGCTCAAAGTCATCTGCTGCCATTGCCGCCGCCGCCGCTGTTGCTTTGAGCGGAATCAGTCGAAACAATACGCCAAGAAGATTGCCCACCATCTTGTTTTGTCGGATGAACTTGGCGTATTCAACTCGTCTTTCTTGAGGCAAGCTTCTAAAGAACTGAAGCAATAGTTTCCAGGCTAACATCAGGGCAAGGCTGGCGTTCTGCGCCTCCGTGTCGCTTGTCATGTCCAGGTGTTCTCCAAACGGGACATGCGCTTCACTCACCATCTCCGCCATGTGTGCGCACGCATCATTTATCAGCACTATCAGTGGAGTAGGTGGGGATCTGAGCAAATAACAGTGAACACTGGATGTCTCAATTTTGTTTTGATTGGTGTCTCGGTCCGGAAGCGCGACAACTCCAGGGAGATAATTCTAGAAATAGAAGATTCTGAAAAACGTTGACTCACAGACTTAGCATGAACGATGGACAGTCCACGTTATCGGCTTCAATAGTAAACTACTCCATCTCGAGAAAGCAAAATCGCTAGATTTAGTTGCCGCAAAAAATTGTGACCTTAAAGTCACCGATTTTCTAACAATTTTCAGGAACGATCAAACTTAAGAGCCAAATAATTACAAAATACCTTTGATAAAAGTTCTGTCACAACAAATGTAATTGCACATACCTGACTTGTTCGTCAACTCCTTCCTCGGCCTCGGATTCCTTATCATCTAGCAAAGTGATCTCCACCGTTACTCTAAAAAAAGATATATTTTAAGGAAAATTACTACTTTGTATAGTAAATGCAGAGATCTTATGGGCAGCACGTTTGTCCTGGCTGAAAGTCGCGCTGTGTAACTGGAATAGACATTTATCGCTCAGTGTCTCACACTCAGGAGCTCGAATACCTACAGTTTAAAGGAGCTACGTCACGGTTTGGGCATCTTGAAAAGTTTAGCCTAAATTTTTCAAGTTCGTCGTTTGTAATCCGTGTCAATCTACTCCATCCTTAACTATCCTTGTTCCTTGATGGTTTATTGTTATCTCTTTGGTGTTTTTCTATCTCAGTAAACTATTGTTTTCAGGTCTCCTTCAATTTGAAGGTAATTTTGTACGTGGCCAAAATAACTCAAAATACCGAGACTGAGCTCCTCCAAGGCAGTGTAAAAAATGCCAGGAGGTTAGTAATGAAGGAATAGTATCCTAACCAGGAAGGGGGGGGGGGGGGGGGGGGGG